GGGGGGGTGGGGGGGGGGAGAGAAGCTTGAGCACTAGAGATTCACAGGTTCTACACATCTTGTACTTACCAAGTATGAAGGATATACATTTTTCATGTAGCAGCATTAAAGTCAGTCATTGCATTTCAAACACTGACACCAAGTGTCCCTGGCCTCATTGAATCCTTACCTTCCTTGACATGTGATTGTAAGGTCCACTGTATTTTCAAGCCCGGCTGAAATAACTGGCTCCACTTGCACAATTTGTACACTTTCAATGCCCGCTATTGAAAACAGAAATGCATCATTAAGATCAGACCCACAAAACGTGAGGGAAACATTTATCTCAAAGACTTACAGACAATATCCAGGTCAGCTGCAAATGTTCCATAACGATAAAGCAAACAGCCTACAAGAGGTCCTTCTGGTGCCTGACGCTTGGCAAGCAGCAACACTTCATTAGCATCGGTGGCTGTTACAGCTTCATTTGACACAACTTCTGTTGTAGCTGGAGAGGTTACAAAATGCAAATCAGCAAAGCAGTCTTTGGACCAGTTAACCTACCATACAGTCATAAACCTGTGTGCAGATCATATTAAAAAAGTTAGAGGTAAAAACACAAAACTTTGGTCATCTCCCCCTACTAAACTATCACAATTTCAAAAAGACTGTTTGGTCTGCAGGAGTCCCCTACATAAAAATAAAACAATGTTGGTGCCTCATTTAGCCCAGAAAAGCAGGTAACTTTTCAGGACACCCATTCTATTATCCAATGTCTTCACAGGTGCTGGTGTTGCAGGGTCGTACCACTTTGTTTTAAAATTTAGTAATCCGTCCAAAGGACTTTTTCCCCCCACATTTTCTTCCAATAGCTGACCAATGTGTAGTCTCAGTACCAGACCCTGGAAAGGTCAAGTAGCATGAAGCTTCCATTGGCAATTTACTCACAAGTGCCATCTTCCCCACATGGCATGGGTATGCTGCATCATGCAAGACTTTTTATCACTGTAGCAGGTCAGCTTTAAAAATGGAAGTATCTGTGATGACACTAGATCTCCTCTCCCTCTCCCGAGATCATAGGTGTGCTGGGAGTGCCTGGGCACACCCTAACCACCACAAGCTTCAGCCCTCACTTGGAGTGCAAAAGCAGCCAGCAGGGCAAGCTTTGGGGGATGCTACTAGGCACCAGGGTACACGCTTCCATCCTTACCACTTAGTCCTCCAGATGGCCGTTAAGTAGGGTCTCTCCTTTCCACCATCTCTCCCTCAGCTATAGAGGAAAACATTGCTGTATAATGTATTGCTGGGATTTGTAGTTTCCCTAGTTTTGAGTCAGTGGTAGAACCACCCGGGGCACAGCTTTGCAGCTGTGTGACCGGGCACTCCACCACTGTCCTAATAGTCTATTACTTTAGGAGGGGGGACGGGACAAAAATAATATAATGCATGTTTGTACTTTGTGCGCACACCCTAATGGAATGCTATGCACACCTATGCTTTGATACTACACAGGTCTTCTCAATAGAGAGTATGCAGAGATTTAAAACTTAGACACCTACCTTGTTCTGGTACAGCACTAGCTACATTCTGTACAGCCTCAGTAACTGTTGAAGCACCTTCTGTGCCCTCAGCATCTTGAGCTGCATTTTCTTCAGTCTGATCTGGAGCAGCATCGGATGGTACAACTTCTGGCATAACAGATGCTTCACTTGGAATTACTTCTTGGGGAGATTCTGTGCCTTCTTCAGTGACCACAGCTTCTGGCTGAGTTACTGTTACTGCATCCTGGTTAGCTGCAGTGTCTTCTGTGGCCACAACTGTCACAGCTTCCTCATCTGCTGGCAAGGCCTGTTCATTTTCAGCAACAGCAGTGGCAATCACAGAGTCATCTTCTGGTTCCACATTCTCAGCAACATCAGTGGCAATCACAGAGTCGTCTTCTGGTTCCACATTCTCAGCAACAGCAGTGGCAACAGCAGTGGCAATCACAGAGTCCTCTTCTGGTTCCACATTCTCAGCAACAGCCGTGGCAATCACAGAGTCGTCTTCTGGTTCCACATTAACCTCTTCATTTAGGGAAGCCACAGTTACCAAGAGGTTTGCTTCTGTGTCCAGTGTTGTGTTAATGGGGACTGCAGCAGTACTGGGTGCAACTGTAGATAAAACCTAAAGTTATCTGCACAATAATATAAAAACAGATCTATGGTTTCTTGGCCCCACTAAGTGCAAACAAGTTCTGTACACATGTGGTATCCCCATGCATGTCAGGAGCAGAATTAATTTTGGCGATTAGTTGTAGAGGTTTCATTACCATGCCCCAATTTAAAAGGATGTTTGTTACCAATTGGGCCAGGAGTGGTGTATTAACATTTACTACCAAAGGCCCAATTTGTCCTGAACGTGATGGACTGGTGTCTTTTTATCCCATGTAAGGTATAATTCACCTGGACACCCCAAGTAGTTGCAAAGATATGTACTGTTGTACTAATATAAAGTTTGTTTTCATCTTCATAAGGGGTCAAGGATCCTGGCACAAGCATTGCAGTCACTTACAAAATAGGTTAGGGGCTCCCCCAATTTTACCTAAGGTCCCTTTCAGCTGGCATTCCAATCAGGTCCGCCTGTCAGTCTATCAGGCAGATCCGACTGAAGCCCAGTTTTAGTCTATATGCAGTCAGATCTAAAAAAAAAGCAGATGTGTCCATTACATCCAATTACCCCCAACTCTGTCCAGGTGCAGAAAAGCAAACCAAACAGGCAGACCTATCTTGGCAGATCATGGGTACCAAGGTATTTTTTACATCCAACTCCCAATAGACCATAATCAGTCCAGCAAGTTGATTTCCCCCTCCATTGCAAGATAGTGAGGGGGGGGGGGGGGGGGGGGGGGGGGAGCTGGACAGACAGAGGGCGTCACAACAGTGACATCCTTTCTGAATTGCTCTGATCAGCAGGGGATCCACGAGTGTGGACAGCACTAGGTTAGTAATTTACAACCTGCAGATTTGTCATCATATGACACACGTTAATGTAATAACGCCATTGATTTTGTATTCTTGTTCAGTAAGCAAAGGTCTCAAAAAAAATAGCTTTTGGGGTGTTTTCTTTGGGGCAAAAACCTCCATACATCCAACAGTGTTCTGGAAATGCTATATAATGGGTCTACTTTATAAAAGTTTAAAAACAAATTCTTTAAGGTGGGGAAAGGATAGTATAGTGAGCTATAAAAAGGGAGTCTCAGATAGTATACATTGACTTGTCTATTTTGACTTGCCTTGAGACTTTAAAGTATGAAATACAACACATCATACCATAGGGACTGCTTGTAGAACATACCCGTTTGTCTTCCAGCTGTGGTAGCAGTAGCAGCTCCTGTTGAAGGCTCAGGCGGTAGAGCTGTAGAGGTCACCACCTGTACCGTGGTCATCACAGCAGCAGTGCTTCCACATGGAGTGATTGGAATAGAAGCCTGCACAACAACTTTTGCTTTGAATACACCAGGAGTAGTGTATGTATGGGTGACCGCTGTGTTCCGGGTGATAAATGTACCACTCTGATCTCCAAAATCCCAGGAGAAGGAGATATCAGCTGCTTGGAGATAGTTACTTGGGTCATGAACTGCTACAGAGAAGGCCACTGCTCTATTTTGAATAAAGCGCTGGTCCTCCTGGTCCAGATCAAGAACTTGTGATATGGATACAGAAACTGGTATCTGATCTGTGTGAAATAGGAATACAAAGAAAGACAATGTTACAAATCTTGCAAGATTTACATAGGCAGAAAGTCTACAAGAAACAAAAAGTAATGGACCGCACCATATGTTTATTACCAACCAACAGTTTTAGTAGGGAACTAGTTTGGATTGCTGAAGATGTATTGCAGGTACTTTGGGACTGGTTTAATGAAAATGTACTTGCTAGATACTGTGGGTTGTACTTTGCTACAAAGTCATGCTCTGACAACCCAAAAACTAACATGAAAGGATGCCTATACCTTAATACAGTGGTTCTCAACCTGTGGGTCGGGACCCCCTCAGGGGTCGAATGACAATTTGCCAGGGGTCGCCTAGTGGCTCTTGGCCACCGGGAGAGAGAGAGACACTTCTCCCGGAAAGGTCGGGACCTTTCTCTGCTCTGTTTTTTTTTTTTTTAATCGGGGGCCGCCGTAAGTTAGAGAAAAAAAAAGTTCTCCATCAGGTCCCCTTCTAGTGATTGACAGCAGCAGAGGGCGGGTGCAATATGTATGTATTCAAGCAAAAAAAATATGTAAAAACACACCTCTAGCTATGCATTCCATGTTCCCGGTCCGCAGCTGCAGAGATCAGGAAATGTCTCAGTGCCTGTGATTGGCACTGCGCGCTGTCAGCTTCCTGGCGGGCTCGGCACTTGGAGCTGCGAACACGCCCGAGCCCATCACTATCAGTGACAGTACTGCTGAGTATGTACCTCATACGTTATATAGCCACAGACTTTAAATCCAATTCTTCTAGTTCCAGCTGCAGAGCCCGGTCCTGTCTTTGCCTATAGCAGTGGTTCTCAACCTGTGGGTCGCTGTGCAAGGTGAGAGTCCTCCTCAGCTCTCTCCTAGCGCAGCAGTGTCAGTTCTCCTGCCACGCCTGCAGATGTCGCGTCATCCCTAAATTTTACCTTTGGGGGTCACCACAACTTGGCAAATGTTACTAAGGGGTCCCGGCCCTAGAAAGGTTGAGAACCACTGCCTTAATATGTAGTATTAAAGTGACAGATTTTTTAACATAAACCAATACTGTAATGTGCGCCTTACTGTAATCCATGGTAGTTTTTCCTTCTTTGCTGCTCTTCCTTTTAAATCTGTATCTGTTCTCATGCTGGGCAGAATGTCTGTTTTGCAGCAGACTGCCTTGTCTCTGGAATGGCTACATGGTGTCTGTAGGTTTGCAACCTGAGCCAGCACTACAGGAAGAGGCACTCAGCTGCAAAGGGAAGTTCTCCCCAAGCATGAGAAGACATGAGGATTTAAAAGAAAGAGCAGCAAAGAGAAGGGAAACAACCATGGATTACAGTAAGGCACACATTACAGTATTGTTTATGTTAAAAAATCTGAGGGTTTAATGTCACTAAGCTTTGATGCAGCTGAAAAGGGTGTCCATTTACATTGACATTTCAAGCAGAACCTAAAGCAAACCTAAGGCAAACAGCCCGTGCCAAATGCAGTCCCAGGTTTCTAGACTTCAGCACATAGCAAATCTGTGGTGAACTACTTTCCTAAACAAAATAAGTGCATGCAGCCAATAGCTTTCAGTAATTTTAGGGGTGCACTTGCAACAAGGGTGTTTGTCAGCACCCGATCCACCTCACTTGGATCAGGTCTGCCACACCAACAATGAAAACTACTGTTGGAGGGTCAGTGGAGCTTTAGAACTGCTCATACTGGACAGGTGTATATTGTAAACAAGACTTGATCTTTTTGGGTCATTACAAAAACCCGATATAAGCAAGAACTTAAGTTTAATCTAGTTCATTAGTGGGGTAAAATCATCCTGGTTAAACTACAATTCTACTTACCAGTGATTACAAACTGAGAGGTGCTGCTGCCAATAGGTATAAACTTTTGTCGCCCACGATAATGGTACACAACCACTTCCATTGTGTATGAGCCAAGGGGAATGTCATCTGTATCCACTGTTAGATTGGAGGAGGGACCATCTACTACCTGCCAGTACTTCCCTGTGGGGGAGAAACCCATACATAGTTAACTGGGAAAGAGGGTGGGGGAGAGAAGGGGAAAAAAATATATATATTTCTAACCCCATGCTTGCCAAACGTAAACAAACTTGCTGCGCCTTTTGTCAGAATCACGTGGGAATGGACTGCCATCTGGAAATGTACACTCAGAACCTTCTGTTCCCTCATCAGGGTAAATGGGAGCCCAGGTACCTATGTTACAAGGAGAGGTTATAAAGTCTTGGTGTACAGTTAGCAAATCTAAAACTCAATAGCAAACAGTTATCCCTTCTATAAGGGTTTGTCCCCCAGTCCATCTTCTCTACCACAGAGTTCAATACACTGCCACATACACCCCCCCAAAAAAAATATCTCCCCATCAAAAGAACTAGTATGAAGCAAGCAGATAGTTCTATTCCATCTCCAGGCATACTGGCCTAGTGACCTTACTTAATACAGTCTTCGCTCTGACTAGATTCCTCAGATTTGTTTAAAAAAAAACAATGACAAGGGAGATTCTCAGCTAACAATTAAATGCCAGGCTACAATTATAGTTCCAGGGACCCAATCATCAAAACTCTCATGCCTACCCTTCCTATCCATTTTCTCTCCCTCTCCTTCAGTCCCCCCATTCCTTCTCACATCTGATGCATTTCTCTATTGCCCGTTGTCCTGATGAGACATATTTAATCTGCTGGCCCTTTCTCCCACACTATTGACTTGCATCCGACATCTTTTACTTTTCTTTGCCGTCAGTCCTAACCATGGTACATCCAAAATGCCTTCTTATAAAGGTACGGTTAATATACCACATATAATCGAGAGGATGTGTTCCTATTTGAGCTGACAGTATGACAAATAAAAATTGCCTTTCAAAATAATAAAACAAGATTTAGGAAGTCCAGCAACATATTGCATTTTACTGGAAAAAAAAATAATTAAAAATGCAGGCTCCAGGAGAGTCATTCTAATTGACTACTTTTTCAAGTGAGTCTACCTCAAAGCAAGTAAAACAGTAATGAAATGTAGAAGTTGAAACTTTTTTGGAATAGAGCAAGGACAGTGGAACATATGTGTGGTTTTGTACAGCAATGCATGTTGGAGGGGCGTGTGGATAGTTAAGCCCTCACCTGGGAACTCTCCTCACTTAGGAAATCTCACTGTTTTATGGCAGTCTCCAGGTTTCTTGTGACCAATATCTGCCAACTCCTGTCTTGAATACTTTCTGGGTTGGTGGCCCACCAAGTAGTTTAGTATAGAACTGGATGACATTCTATGACCAACATCTTTAAAAGCCAATAGGTCTTCCATACCTGTTCTCCCAAGTTTACCAGAGATGACGTTCCTGTTCCCCAACAGGTGATTTTTCTATTTATATGGTAGGTTTGTTTATACTTGCCATTGTCAGTGCGGTTATTGTTCCAGATAACCTGTCCATCAGGCAGCACTGTCTGATTCTGCGGGAAGTTTAGCTGGATGAAGAAGGTGGCCTTGGCACCAGTCAAAGTTGGGGCATCATTACGGAGGCTGAAGGTCACTTGACCTCCTAAATGAAGCAAGATGTTTTTTTAATTAGAAACACTTAAGGCATTCTGTGTTACAAAATTAAGTTTTCAGAACTTCGCTCGCAGAGGAGACTGGACCATCAAGAGAGACTCCATCCTTCCATTAAGAGCCAGGCCATTAACATTACAACATTAAATGGATTTAGTAGATCTTTGGATCAGTGGTATAAATAAAATCTCACAATGACACATACTATGTTGGAGTCTGGCTGTCTCACCTTTCCAACAGTCCCTTTTCTGGGCTTCACTGCCTTTCCAGATGGGGTACATCTGACTGTTCCATGACCTGAAGGGAGGGCGCTTGTTATTCTGCACCTCTTGTTTGCTTTGCTGAACCCTACTCCGTGACCCTGTAATAAACAGCATACGTAGTGTCCTGTACTGAATTTCAGTTTAATCAGGAGATATTTTCTCACACACTTTGATACATTTGCAGTTCAGCAGTCACATGCTAGCACACAAATTCCATTGATTCAGACTATGGTCCGACCCCACCTTTTCCGTCAGACTTCTTGGCTTAAGAGCCCCTGGAATCAGCATGTGATGTGCATACTGGAATCGTGCTGAGGGGCTCCAGGCAGAGATGGGTCACACGGCCATTCAATCCCTCTTGGAATGCTACATGTGACACTCAGCTGAGGCATCTGACCTGATGCTGTCTGGAACAGTAGAGATGATGGCACTGCCGACCCCATACTGCCCTCCTCCATGTAAGCTTACAGTTGGAAAGCCAGAATTAGGTTACTCCAAATAACAAAGGAACAGTACTAGCATCCAAATATTTATTATTGATGTGTTATCAGGCTGCAAAGTGCCACATGCAAGGAAAGTGGTACCGAGAGAAATAGGCTGCCACTTCAGATCGTTACTCTGAAAATGTTAGTCATCTGGCTGTCTTTTGCTCAGACTTGCGAATCAGAAGTTTTGATCTGCATTAATACTTAGGGTAGGTTACTTAAAATACTGAAACCAGGCAGCAAGGCAACTACAATTTTCAGAAGGTAAACAATAACAGCCTTCATATTTTAGTATAGCTTTCATTTAGTCAATAAATCTTGGTTCTGTACACTTTAATAAAGGTTATAATAACCAAACTGTATAAACATGTTCAGCATGTCATGTAACCTTTACTATATTAACATAATCTGGAAGAGATTTAGCAGTTCCCCCTTAGGACACCAGCAAGGGTTCATGATTCAGAGAAGCCTAGAACCATGCGATTCTGAAGGGCTGTATGCAAGATCAGATAACCTTGTGGAGAAGAGACGACGACATCTAAAATTCACAAGTGTGCTTGTCAATTATTAAAAACACTTTATAGTCTCACTTTTATCTCACTCAAGTCTTGACCCCCCCCACACCAGGTCCCCTCTGACCAGCACGAGCTGTGAAATTCAATTTTCACTACCTATAGACACCCAAGATTTCTGTAGTGGAGGAAATCTCCTTAGCTCACCATTGAGAAGACCTCAGTCTCTACCTGAAGACAGCCAATGACAACTGTAGTGAAGAAAGGCTCCTTGGCACACAAGCGTGCAATATTTCATGCATGTTTAGAGACTTGGGAATCAGAGCATAGTGATCCTAGACACTGCACCACCACAAAATCCCTTCCCGTCAGAAGACAGGCATTCATATATCTGCCCCGATTGGCAAGGCCAAGTATAGGTGTATGGTTGAGCAAGGGGAAAATGTTGCTGTTCCATCAAACAGCCACCAGATCCTGGTACATTTCATTTTAAAGACTCAGTTTGAGATTTATGGGTGCACATATGCCACAGCCAAGTGCTCTAAACTGCACTTTTATCTAGGCATTGTTTAATCAAAAACAGCAAGTTCATCTAAACATTTCCATCCTCTTGCCTTCCATTTGCAAATGTCAATTCTAGTACTAGTTTTTCTTAAAAGGCCCTTAGCATTTAGAAAATTGCTCATACTGGATAGTATATTAATGGGTCAGTCCACCCAGAAGTAGTATTTAGTTACAGGTGGAGATTTGTTTAGCCCTTTAGCTTCTTATACTTCTTAGATACTTAAGAGTGACACTGCTTTGTCATAACAGAACCTTATCTTAGAGTTATGCATGTCCATGCTCCATAATAGACGAGCGAGAGCGAACGAGCGATCATAAGTGTTGTATGCCCCCGCCCCAAAAATAAAAAAAAAGTTGAACGTCACCAGCTGTCCACCTCAAACAATAACGGCCATACTATGATTATTTTTCTTCGTGCGTATTCTATACAAAAGAAACTTTTCATTCTGCATGTTCCAGAACCCTAAACTTTATACAACATGGTAACATTTGAGGTGTGTATTTCCTCCCCAATTCTATTTATTGCATATTTTAACTTGTATAGTTTGGGTGCATACAAACACAAGGGGGGAAAAAAAATAAAAATGTGTCCTTACAGTGCAGCTTTTCACATTACCAATCATAGTGCTACTTGAAAAAAAATCCTGGACCCGGAGAAAGGAAAAAAAAAAAAAGTTATTCATCGTTCTATACTCACTGTTCTGAGCCTCTATGCCAGCAAACAGCATCCAGAGAACAGCCAAATTCCAGGCTCCTCGCATCCTGTCTCGTTCAGTCAGTCTTACCTCCCAACCAGGACTCCAGCAAAGTGAAAGAAACAATAAAAGGTCCCTATAAAATATCCAACAGGCACTTATTAGCATAGTCACACCTCTTCATCTCATAAGCCACAATACACACAGTGGACAGTTGACCCCCCCAGGCAAGATATTCCATGTGATTTTCTCCATAAATCATGTGTAATACTTATGTAAACCAAACCAATATATAGATTATCTTCCTGCACATGACAAACCAGTTGTAAAAAAAGGCACCTAATAAAAAGGTCAGCCATAGACCAGTAGATATGACAAATTATCACTGGTCAGCTATAAATTGTACTCTATAGGGAGCTGCTGCAACAGTCACCACCTACCATTACAGGAAGCCAGTGCTGGGAGAGAACAGGCTACATTGCTGACCTCGCCATTCAACAATGCTACTTGCCTGGCTGACATGCAGATTTTCTGGCTTTAATATGCCAAGCCACCAACCGAGGACAAGTACACAGCCCAGTAGTCAGAGTCTTTCCCTCTCATACAATTGGCATAGTCATAAGGTCAGCACCATTGATCTACATATATCAAAAAACAAGTTCCTTTAAAAGGAGCTAGTTGAGAGACGTATGGAATTTCAAATTGCCTGAAAGTCATGCTAATCCAGTGGCTTCAACATTATGGGCAGATTTATAAATCTTCTGCCCAACATATATCTCGGTGAATGCCATTCACATGGTCAATACTGCCACTAGATGGCGCTGAGAAGCGCATAAATTTCCTATGCTCCCTACCGCCATCTAGTGGTGATAGAGCCACACCAACAGCATCCACCCAGCTATAAGATGGGCAGACAAGTTATGATTCTGCCCCTCTGAGGTCACATACGTACAAAAGGCAAGCAGATCAGTTCTGACTTTGCTCAATTATACCTGTGTACCCTACATGCTGCAATTCGAATGACTGTTTATGCATGCAAGATTTACCTAGATTAAAGAGGAAGTCCAGGCAAACTACTTAGAGCTCATAGGTCAAAGACACATTTACGGTCTAGCTACCAAAGAAATGCCATTGTGGCTAGACATTCTTGTAGCACACACCTTGCTAATCATGATAATCACATTTTAGGAAACAGTCTCAGACTTGTGTGCTGCAGTAACGCGCACATTGCACCATATAAGCATGGTTGTTGGCCAGCAAACATGACATTAGCAATAAATGGGCCATCTTAAATTGCATTAGTTAGGGCAGTGCAAAAGACCATAAATCACAAACCTTTACTAGGCAAAAGCAGGAATTATTGAATTCCAACTGCATATTACAGGTTCACCCAAAATTTCACTTAAACCCAATTGAAAGGCACTTGATTTTTACTGCGCACACAACTCGATAGCTGAAAATAGGGACCTCATACAGCTGATGCTTTGAACACAAGTAAAAACCATACAAACAAATAAAAGAATTTGTCTCAGTCCAACTTTTGCATAAAACAAGATGTTGGCCATCCAAAGATGACAGTAGCTGTTACTAAGTGCACATAGCTGCATGAGTATGGAGAACAAAGGGATTGTATCAGCCAGCATTCCTGTGGTCCTAAAAATGTACCTCTGTAGATCTTTACTTCAGAAACCAAAAAAATTAATAACTAGAGACAACACAAAACCTAAATGTCTGAAAGCCAGAGAAACTCCAGAGAAGGGACATGCAACTCCCAAAATAGAAATCACTGTATAGAACACACTAAACACAAGTTTCTATTTATAGGGATGGGGGGGACCAAAAAAGAATTTTACAAACACAAAATGGAGATGATCACAATTACACTCACTGGTATAAGCTATAAAAAAATGAATTATTGGAAGTTAAATACAAAATCTCTGCAAACCCTCCAGGTTTTGTTGTTGTGCTTCTTCCCCCCCCAAAAGACTTACCCTGCGAGTGGTCTAAAACATCTAGCACAGTGTGCCTGATTTATAGTCAGGCCTCAGATTCCAGACCTGCATCACCTGCTCTTTTACACTTCATTAGACTAGACTGCTAATGAAAGGCTCTGGTCCTAAAGTCACATGATTAGAGGTCACATGATCCTTTGATGTCTCTGAACTGTGACCTGCTCAGATCTATAATCTCTGCACTTCATTCTTTTATTTTTAGAATATTATGAATAGAAATAAAAAGTATGAATAATAATTAAAATATATATATATATATATAATGTATGTATAGAGAGAGAAAAGATAACAGAACAAACAGAAACCTAACAAAAGATAACTGTGAAAATAAAGCCATCATAATAATGGATAATGTATTCAAATAATAATAATAATGCTGCAACATAGAGTCAAATAAAACAGGATAGACGGCTGACACTCATTTTATTCCTCATGCATCAATATATTAGACAACCGCAGACAAGTTTCTGGCTTACACAGCCTTAGTGATACATTTAAATAGCACAGCTGCCAACACCTCCTGGTATGTAGGGTTAGTCCTTGCGTTTCATGATGTGTACTTGGAACTGTCCCTTGGAACTGTCCCTTGTTTTTAGGACTGACTAATTCTGCCTTCATATCTCTTATGTGCATGTTGGATTCAGATCAGTTTATGTACTCAGGGATTCATTTATAAATGTGTAAGCTGAGCTCCAGACAAACGGCTAAATACAAACATAAGATACAAAAATGACAATTGTTTTATTTCTGTCCTCCTAGTTCTGAGATTTACACAGCTCTGCCATGCAGCACAGACCTGCCTAGCAGGAGAGGAGACCTGATTTTTCTTTGCCGCAGTTCAGTAACAATTACACAGGTCTCCTTCACCACCCCCAGCCTGTGACTGGAGGGAGAAAGGTGAAGCAGTAGACTGATGAGCTCATCTCTTTGTCACGGTGCTCTCTTCTCCTGTCAGCATGCTCCTTGCCCTGCAGCACAACTGACTATCCCCTTGTGCTGCTTCTCTTACCCCCCAGTCTGAGCTTTGCTGTACAGGGAGTGCAAAAGCCTGATGCCAAGCCAAATTCAAAGCCTACAAGACTTTTATTTGTGCCTGGAGTTCAGCTTTAACTAAGTCAGCATATAGAAAAGAACACCCTAAGTAACTTGGCTTTATAATGTAACATTCTCATGGAGAATAAAGGTTTTGATGAGTGGTAGGGCCCATTTGCACTTGGGCACTGTGGCAACGCACATTACCAAAATGCAGGACAATGCACCTGTTCTAGCTGCAGAGAATTGCAGTGCATTCCCTTGTAAATGGCACCCCAAAGCATTGTAGAGTAGAGCTCAACGCACCGCAGCATAACACAACGCATACACTGTGCCTTGCATTACTTTCTCCATTGTGGTTCTTCAGCAGCCCATTCATAATGAATAGGCTGACTTAACGCACATTTAAACATGCCATGACAAGTGTTAACACGTGTGATTTAACGCACTGTAATGGGAGACATAACCGTGAAGAGGTCCTTAAAGTGGAACGGGACTCACCTGCCTGTTTGCTCCTTATATGATGGAAGAACAAGGCTGCCCCTGGCAGCTCTGTCCACAGGGGTCTTCCAGGGGCCATGTTACTCATCCCCATTGGGTAGACATGTGCGATTTGTTTCGTTACAAATCGAAATTCGTACGAATTTTCCTGAAATTCCATTTACAGAATTCGTATTTCGGATAAAAAAAACAACTACCACTCCAATATTAACAAAAGGTATTTTGCTTTTTAACTTCATCATAACGAATGTTCGTAACGTTACGAAAATATACCCGCCACTAACGAAAATTCGTATTTCGTCCGAATCCGAATCCGAATTGAGTTCAGTTACGAATTACGAAATACGAATTAACGGATATTCCGAAACTAATCGAAACAGAACAAATTTTTTGACGGCGCACAAGTCTACCATTGGGTGACCAATTCTGATGCTCATGTGCACAGGAGTTACACCATCCCTGACACCAGGCTGTATTACAGATGCTGGGGTGTACACTGCACTGCACATGCACTGTAGGCAGTGTATAGTTACAGTTATTGTATACTCATTTAACATTTGCTAGTATAAAGGGGAAAGGCACTTCTGCTGAAAAAAAAAAAGCTATTTTCTAGCAATTTTTAAAGTGTATTTCCACTTTTGCAGCCAAATTGGGTTAGCACCTACTTTATATTTGTTACATGTTCCCATTCAGCATTACTGAGCTCTCTGCCCGACCACTGCAGCTGTCACACAAACACGCAAAGCGGCCGAGGACTTACTGTATACTGTGGGTGGGTGGACAGCAGGCACTGGGCGGATTCTATAGCCAATAGCCAGCCTGCTATTGGTTATGGAATCCACCCACTGCCTCTTGTGAATCAACAGCAGAGTGGACCTGATGGGGAACTAATCCCTCAGCATCCCCATTAGACTCCGCCCACTTAGCCGAATCATTGTTTCCTCAGAGGCTGTTAGCTGTGCAGCCAAAGGTGTCTTAGCAGCCTGCGTCTCAGCCCTAGCCCCATTCAGCTGCTGTAGATTCCCCAGCTAGCAGCTGAATGTAAACAAAGGGGTGGGGAATGCTGACTGATATCATGATGTCAGCCAGCATCCCCAGCTCCTTTGTTTACATTCAGCTGCTGGCTGGGGAATCTCCTGGCTGGCTGATGGCCTGGTGTCCAAGCAAACAATATATGTCAAGCTTTGAGATTCCTGACATCTTCCAGTACATACATGCCCCACTCTGACCACTGGCGTTTCTCTGTATGCCAGATCAGAGTTGGTCTTAATCATTACCAGTTTTCCAATCTGTAAACTGGCAATAATTATTTTTTAATCTGTCACAGCCATAGTGGCACTTATAAGAACTATCTGAATGTCTTGCAAGTGTCAGTAAAGGTACCGAAACTGGTGACAAAGCCTTTCTGAATTTGGAGCAGGACTATTAAATGTGTCATACAAGCCATTATGGAATTCCTCCCAATGAATAGAATGTACTAAGACTTGAGCAAATAAAATCTGGAGCAGCTGTGCATGACAACCGATCAGAATCCAGCTTTCATTTTCAAAACATAACTATTGAAGCTGAAGATAGAATCGGATTTGTAACTATGGACAACCGCTCCAGACTCTGTCTGCTCCAGTGTTAGTAAATCCCCCCCTATTGTGTTTTAATGCAGTGTCTCTGAATCTTGTACCTCCAGTCTGTCCTATAGCTTTGCACTGCCATCATTTCAAAGCCGTAAAATCCGCTCATACAGCCCTATGTATATTCCTGCTCCAAGCAAACAGCTAAAAAGGTAAGACATGTTTTTTTTTAAACATATTTTATAGGTATGATTATTTTTAGGTATGATCTGAATGTGAACTCAAAACAAACATATAGGGGGAGTTTCTCACATTTGACTGCAAAAGTGGTAATACACTATGGGGTCTATTTATAACCAATTCGCAGAGCCTCTCACCATACGAATTTTTCTATATGTTTGTTCTGAGTGAATAGACACAAAAAAAACAACGTTCTTGATAAGTTTTCTTTTCAGGTCGAATGTATGTAAATACTTATTTCCTATGCTCCTCCGCTCCATCTGGTGGCCAAAATGCAGTATTACATTACATACATTTGATAGGAAAAGTAATTACATCTACAAATGTTAATTTTTGTGTCTATTCACACAGAATGAACGTTCAGAAGATTCGTAGGGCGAATGGCTTTGCAAATTAGTAAAAAAAAGACCCCTTTATTTTCCTCTCTAAAAAAAAACTATGTCCCAACTTTTTTTGCTGTAGTTCTCTTTAGGGTCACAGGAGGACATACACTAATGTCCTCCTGTGACCCAAAGCACAGCATATAGCGGGCTATTGACCTGAGAAAGGAAGCTTTACAGACCTTTCAAATAGTACGTCTCCTAGCTCAAAATGCGCACACTAAACTGATATCTCAGTATTATCCCTTCCTCTTTTGTCCAAACATGTCTAGACTGGAGAAAGTTAGGAATAAATGGTAAAATGACATCCCTCCCCTATGCAGTACGACATTCTTGTTTAGAGGTCTTTCACAGAAGTTCAAAAAAACTTGGCCAGTATGCAGAGCGCCAACCTCTACGGCCCCGTTCACATGTAGCGACGTATCACGCGATTTCCGCCGCGATATCGCGCATTTTTGCCGCGCGATATCGCGAGAAGTCGCCGGCCAATGCTATTCAATGGAGCTGTCTTAACTCCATGTCGCGCGTCGCTCGTCGCGGTCGCAAGTCGCGGTCGCAAGTCGCTTCTACCGGACCCTTTTTTCGGCGGATTTTGCATTCACTAAAAATCACATCAGCATCCAGCTTTGCATGTTGATATGAAATCATCTTACATTCATTGGTTAAATAAACATATTTTGCTTTTACTTATAATTATTGTTTTTCCACTTCCTATTCCTTTTGGTCATTAGTGATGTAATCTGTGCCCAAGCATTTCATCATCAGTAGAGCATTGCTGGGAAATCTCATCTGTAATCTTGCAAGATCTCAGGGAAAGGCATTTTCCTCCAATGAGATGATGTGTATGGTCACATGATCTAGTCACATGTACCAGAGTTCCAGGAAGTAAAGGGAGATATATTATTCTGCCCTTAGTAAAAATGTCCACTGTGAGAAGAATTGGGAGGAAAAGAGAAATAATGGATGCAAAGAATACAAAGCCGGCAATTATGTAGAAGTATGTGTTTGCGGATTGTCATCACTAGACATTCCTAAAGTTGTTATTTTGAAGATAAGGGTAAAGTTCCTCTTTAAGCCATCCCATTAGTTATACCATCATAGCTAATAAAAGACAGTCAAATATAGCAGGGTTAGCAAGAGACACATTTTATTGCTATACATGTCATACAATAAACATCCAAGTGTTTGTATTTTGGTTATTGCATGTCCTGTTTGCACTCATTGCACTTAGTACGGATTATCTGATTCACATTTTAGATAGTATATGTAAATATTGTGTACCTTTTGTATTAGGCAGATCAAAATAACAATTAGTATACAAAAAAAATAGAAAACATATGACACAACTGGTCTCTTTCTAGCGAATTACCCCTACCAAAA